TGTTTGATTCTCTCAATAAGAGTTATTGTCGTGGACAAATGTCTCTTCATAATTTATGTGCACATACTTCGTCAAGAGTATAGGTTATAGACATAATTATGCTTCGATCGGTTAACTACAGAGATGATTTTGATGGATGAATGAGTGGATCAAACTTAAACTTTCAGAAAATTCATCTCTACAGTTAACTATTAGTACCTATAGGTTTCATAAATAAATTGTGTACCGATGGGGAAAGGGTACAACTGTGAACATCATATTGAGCAGGTAGAGGATTCAAAAACATTCAGAGATGTCAAAGTGAACTCATCTTTTGAGTAAAGATCGACCATAGTCTGAATTTTAGTTTGATTCAAAAATATCAAGAATTAATCATGTATTTGGCAAGAAAGTAGTGTAAATTTGAGTAACTAGTCCTTTGCAGATTACATGGTTTAATGCGAAAGCAGGTTTCATCTATCATAATTATCTCTATGCTCAAGCAATTGAAACAGAAGTGTATCTCTAATCGCACTCTTGACTAAATATGCGTACAAAAATTTTCAAACTTCTAGCATTTATAATGGTTGAGATGCTCTAAGGCGAAAACTTTTGTCTACTACTGCATTTATATTAAATTAAATTAGTAATCGAATTGAAAACTGTAATATTAGTTTTGTTTGTAAACTACATTCGAATTATAATACAATACTACTAATTCGTTTTTAAGTTTCCATCAAACATTATTATGCAAGTTCAATTTTGTTACTCTTTCTCTAACAAAATCAGTTTCTTGAACTATCATATATATATATTTATTGAATTTCTATTTTTGTTCAGTTGTAAAATAAATTGATAAAGAAAAAACTATGCACAGTCTTTTAAAATTTTCATATATACATAATTATTTTTTCTTATGCATTGAAATAGTTTTCATTAGATTTTTTCCAGTAATAAAACCATTTGGCATTGGCATTGTATTTTTTTTAATAACACCAGTTTTTTTTTTTGGTGGTTCATACATTTCATTATTTTCATCATAAACATGCAAAAGTTTCTTTGGAATTTCCGATATAAATTGTGATCGTTGACACATTTCTTGTTGACCATAAGTTGAACATGTTTCAGAATAAGACATATGTAAATATTGTTTTGCTCGAGTTATTGCTACATACATTAAACGACCTTTGAGATAGAAAAAAAAAAAAAACAATATTATCTATTAGATTTAATCATAAAACTTACGTTCTTCTTCAATATCACATTTTCCAAAGAAATTTGACGGAAAAAGATTTTGAACTAAATAATAAAAAACAAATAATTGTTTAGAAATCTTTTACCTATATTATCCATGTTTAGATTTTAAGAAGAACGTATTGAAACTTAATACTATGCAGTATTTTATCCAGCATGGAAGTCAACAAGGAAATGACTCTCCAAAATTTTCAATCGATATCGATATATGAAACTATTCTTCCGAAATACAAATCAATCGTTTAGGTCAATGTTACAGAGTTTTTCTAAAAACCTATGTCCTTGTTTCAATTAAAAGTTTGACTGGTTTATGTTCATCAAAAAAAAGAAACTAAAAATATTGTCTTTTATATCAAAATATAAATATTAAAACCAAAATATTTTATTATTCTTCGATAAACAAAAAAAATTCCAATGTCATTTTAATGATTTGATCATGGATTTTGTACTAAAAATGGATATCGTTTCAGTCCACATATTTTTAAAAAAATAGAAAAATAAGAAAATAACGATCATTCCAAGTATCTTCCTCTAAATTCATCAATATATATAAACGAAGATTTTGTTAAAAAAATTTGTTTCTCAAAATTCTATTCTCTTATTTTTGAATATTCTGTCAATGATAAAAATTTCAGTTTAATTCTATGAGTGAGATATGATCGAAAAAAGGACTACTTAAAAAACTAAAATGAATTTACCAAGTCCAGCAATAAATACATAATGAAATTCTAATCCTTTTGCACCATGTATAGTCATCATTTGTACTCTTTCTGTTTCATCTGTTGTATCTAATTTTCCATCGGGAGTATTAGTTGTATCCTATGAAATAAAATACTTTTTATAAAAAACAAACAAACACTCAAATTTTTCATACTAGTGCAATAGTACTAAGATATTGTGTAAGATCATTTGTATTATATAATTGTGAAAATTGTTTCATAGCATTACATAATTCACTTAAATTTTGTAAACGTTCAACTTCTTGTTTTTTTGTATATGATTCCATTAAACCTGATTGTTCAAATATATATAAAGCTTGTTCATATAATTCCATTGTTTTATCTTTTTCTAATATTGTTTTTTTACATTGATTTATTAAATTAACAAAATCATAAATTTTCTTTTGTTTAAATAAAGATGAATCTAATTGAATATATTCAAATAATGAACATTGTTTTTCTTTTGCACCATTTTCAATTTTATCTAATGTTGCTTTACCAATAGAACGTGCTGGAAAATTAATTATACGACGAAATGCATCATTATCATTTTCATTTTGAATTAAACGAAGATATGCTAAAGCACTTTTGATTTCAGCTCGTTGATAAAATTTTATTCCACCATAAATACGATATTTGATGCCTCTATTCATTAATGCTTGTTCAAATTCACGTGCTAATATTTAAAATAAACATTAGATTATTTTAATAATCAAAAAAAAATTTTACATTGAGCATTTGTACGATAGAGAATTGCAATTTGAGATAGAGGAATCTCTGGATGACGATGATTAAAATCACCAATTACTCCTGCAATATGTTTAGCTTCATCAGTAGCATCAATTGCTTGAAATAATTCAATTTGTTCACCATGTTTTATTTCAGTCCAAAGATTTTTACCACTTAAATTAAAAAATTTTTATTTATACATTTGAAAGAAATATTTGATTTAAATCATCGATCGAAGAATAAATTATTTTTATAGACATAATGATTTGAAAATTTTAGCTATAGCCGACTGAAAATTTATAACTAAGCTTTTCAATCTTTAATATAATTCTATTTTAAGAAATCATACAAAAAAAAAAAGAACTAATTCATTAGAAATGCTTATTCACTATTTGTATCAATTAGTCTTGATTATTGTGTTTCTTTTTTGATAAGTTGAGTATGAAACTAAAATATGACATAAAAGAAATTAGCTTGAAAATATACAATACGTTGTATAGTTAAAAGCAAATATTAATCTAATGATGTTTTAGAGATGATGAATGGTATTTAAGTTTTTTTTTATAATTTCATGTTTATGTTTTTGCAATGACAACAAATTATTTTTAGATTGATGAGAAATTATTATCAAGTTGAACAACGAACTTTAGAAATTTATGTAATTTAATAAGTTATAAAATCTATTATTTCCTAATTGCCTTCTATAAATTGTTTATTATCTGAATAAAATAACAAATCAGACTTTTGTGCGTTGCTCTTTATTGTTTTATATTTATTGTAAAAGCAAAAGATTTTTTACTTATTTGTCAAAAATTCAACTAATACTCAAGTCATACATTTGCTTGCATTGAATTCTGTACTCATAAAAATCGAAGATATAAGGCGGTAGGATAGTGATCAAAGAATAGTCGTTCGTTAAACATTGATATAGCAAAAGAGTCATATTTGTGTATGAGATAAAAAGTTTGAATTTCTACTTTGAAAAGTAATAAAAACATCAAGAGATAGTAAATATAACAAATTTTTTAATATCATGGCATTGTAAACATGCGATAATGACGATTAAAAAAACTTGTGATTCGTCGGTCCGACACTCTGATATATATACGAGTCACTCCGTAATATTCTCAAAGGATAACTGGTGAATTCGACATGAGTATATATTATTAAATGTAACTGATAATGCATTATTTCAATGGTGAATAACCATTTCTATATTCACGACAAATTTTGTTTATTAAAACGAACTCATCTTCATGAGATACAAATACAAAAAAATTGTTTAATAAAGATGATTCGTGTACATTCATCTTTAAACATTCGATAGAGCCTTTTGAATATAATCTTTTCTAATAAATTGTTGACTTATGAGATGTTATTCTGTATTTTCTTAACAGTTGTCCAATTAAACTTACTGTAGATTAGCTTTGTTTTTCAATTTTTATCAGTTTTCGAATATTTTTCTTTATCTCAGGCGAAACTTTCGGAATTCCATAACGCACATGATACGAAACAGTCTACTGATAAGTTTTTTTTTTTTGTTAGGTTGTAATCACATAGGCATTTCGTATTTACTTACAGACGAGAGTGATTATGATCAATAACTGAATTTGCTGCTTCTAAAACAATATTGGTACTTCCTAAATACAAAAAAAACCCGTCAGTATGTTCATCTTTGTTTTCGATTCATTAATTAACTCACGATAATTTTGTTCTAATTTAATAATATGTTCTGGATTTTCTCTGTCTAAATAAAGTGCTTTTAAATATTCTTCTATATTATTAATACATTGAGCACCACGAAATGCATAAATACTTTGATCATCATCACCCTATTGAACAAAAAAAAACGTGAAAATCAATTTTTTCCATCTTGTTTTTTTGATCTAAAAATTTAAAATAAACTTACTACAGCCATAAAACAATTTCGAACAATTTTATTTTGATCATCTCTATCCATCATTAGTTTTAACCAATCCATTTGTAATGTTGATGTATCTTGAAATTCATCAACAAGTATAAAGTGAAATTTTTTCGAATAATGTATACGTAAATCAATTTCTTTTTCAAGTAATTCTATATAAAATAAATTATTTAAAAAATAAAAATAATTATAAAATAAACCTTTTGTTAAAAGAATTAATTCACCAAAATCAACTTTATTTTCTTCATAAATATATTTTTCATATTTTGTATAAATTAATTGTTTAAAACGATTTTCATTCTTAGGAATTATATCTGATGAACGTTTACCTTCTTCTTTACATTTATTTATATAATTAACAATAGCTTTTGGTTTATCTGTATAAAAATTTTTTTCATTTATTTCATCTTTAAGAATTTTTTTAACTATTGTTAATTGATCATCAGGATCAATAATTATAAAATCACTTTTAAGACCAACCATTTTACAATGAATACGTAAAAAACGATTTGCTAAAAAAATAAAAATAAATGTTTTAATTTTCTTTTTCATAATTAACAATCAAAACAAATATTCACCAAGTCCATGAAATGTTCCAAGCCACATATCATTTAATTGTATACCAGGTAACATTTGACTTATACGATGACGCATTTCAAGTGCAGCTTTATTTGTAAATGTAACAGCAAATATTTGATACGGTTTTACATTACAATTTTTTAATAAATAAGCAATACGAGATGTTAATACACGAGTTTTTCCACTACCTTTAATGATTGATTAAAACAAAACAAAAGGTAAAATTAATGAAGTTAAACAAACCAGCTCCACTAAGAACAAGTGTTGATTGATTTGTTGAACAAGTAACAGCACGTTTTTGTTGAGGATTAAGATCATGTAAAAGTTTATCATCATTTATTTCATTTGTTATGAGATCAGTTGTAGAAGATACTCTAGTAGTTTTCTTCTTTCGATACATATTTATTTATTCTACAATCAAAGAAGAAAACTACGCTTTTTTCACCTAAAATTCGTCTTTTTCTTTTTTTTCTCTTTTTGAAAATATTTAATTTACAGATTGATATACAAGCTATTATTAGCTAATTCACATAACTAACATCAATCTTATTCTTTTTTTTTGTTTCGCCACAAACCATCATGTCTTTATTCTGATCGCTCATCATCAAAAAAAAGGTACGATGTACATACGCATAGTGAAGAAAAAGAAAAGAAAAACGAGTAAGATAATGTGCTTTGTATGTGAGGAAAAAAAGCCAACAGACATATAGCGAAAACCAAACACAAAACAAAATCGCGAAAATGGGAGTGTGAAAGGTTTTCTATGAAAAAAAAAAAAAAAGAAAAACAATCAATTGTCATCACAAAACAACGTATGTTACTAATAAAAAGTTAGTAACGAGATGTATTGTGTATGACACAAGAGAATAAAAACAAATACCATCACCACAATCAACAAGACAAGAAAAAGAAAAACAAAGAAGAACAATAAGTTTTGCTCATGGGTTGTACACCGGTTATAGAAAAAAACCAAAAAACAGCTGGATTGAGCAGACAAGAGAATACACTCGGATGAGAAGAAAAAAAGACCGAGAGAGAGAGAGAGAGATAGAGAGCTATTGCGCATAAATAAAACAGCAGAAGAAAAAGTGTGTTTTTTTTTTGTTTTTGTTTTTTTTGTTCAACAAACAAAATTCTAATCACGACGATAAAACAGTAAATAAGGCGTAAGTTTATCAGCTGTTGAATTAATCACTTGATGTGATGTAACAACATGAACATTACCATCGTCGAATCTTAACCATCCTTGAAGACCTGGATGAAATACATCAGTTATATAATGTCCTTTTGTTGCATGATCACCTTGATGATATTCAACAGCAAATAATTTATATCGTTCTTGATATTGTTTTCGAGCTTGTTCTGTTAAAATACCTGAAAACAAAATATATATTTTACTAAAAAACAAAAAAAAAAGAAAAATCAATCTATTTTTATTTTTACCTTTTGGTAATGTTAAATTAACAGTATAACTAATAGATTTATTAAGTTTTTTTATTCCATCTGCTTCATCATATAGAAAACATTTTAAATGTATGATAAGTATAGGTGGTAATTGTTCAATTAACATTGTTTTATTTGTATGAATCTAAAAAGTATTATTTGTTAAAATGTTTTTGATATCATTCTAACTTACATTTTGACGATTTTTACTATCAACATAATCGGAAAGTGTTGATTGTTCACAAAAACGTATTAGAGCTTCATCAAGTGAAGTTATTTTTGGATCCTGAAATAAATAATTCATAATTTAGAAATTTCATTAATGAATAGATTGAAATCTCATGAGTAGAGAACTGTTAAAGTCTAACTTATTCATGCCGACACTTGACACCGAGAACGGAAATTTTCACTTCCGTAACTTCACAAAAAAAAAAAAACATGTATTCATAAGAATATATTTTGAATGTGTGAAGACTAAAGTCATGACTATATAATTGTAAAAAGCTTTAGTGTTTTACAGATACAAATATGACATTGGTTCGCAAAAAAAAAAATTATATTTGTTGAATTCAGTGGAAGGCTATACTCATCAAATTTAAAAGTTCAACTTCTTAGTTTAATACCATTGTATAAGGAAAGAAAAATTATTCTTGTCTATTCAACGAGATAAATAAAAAATCAGAAGAAAATGTACTGTACAATGGCTAAAAGACGTTAACTAATTATCAGCAATATTTTTACAAAATGATTTCCTACTAAATTAATAATTTCCTATTTGAAGTCAATTAATGTTTGATTCAGTGAAAGAGTCGATAAGGTAATATTTCTCTGAAGAAAACATTGAAGTTTATTTAAAAAACTTAAATAAGTACAAAGATCAAGAATACTAAGTGTAAGAAGACTTAATGAATGTATAGGCTCAAATGATATAAATATTGAATCTGTTAGTTAATATGAATCGATATTATTTCAAAATACATATTCCGTATGTTTTTTTATTACACGCACGATTAAAAAAAGCAGTATAATTACAATCAACAGAAATTAATTGGATCAGTATTACTGTCTTTAGATTTTGACAGTCTAACAAGACGTCTTTTTGTTATCAATTTTTGAATTATGAGTGAGTACATTGAAATCTTCATCAGTCAACATGGAGAACTATTCTTCTATTTATACAAAGATGTTTTTTTTTCGAAAAAAATCAAAAAATGACTACTCATACAAGTACTATTCATTTAATAACTAAATGAATTTTTAAATGAGCAAACTGAATAAGTTAGTAGTAGTTTATTTTTTTTTACATGAAACAAATTATTAATCTATAGAACAAATATAATAGTTACCGACGACTAAATTTTATACTAAGCATTTAATCTATTTTCATAGAATTTAACTAGGATGTTTATCTGATAAAATTTTCCTCTTATAAAAGATTATCGATTATATTATTAACAGAAAGTATTATTTAGTTGATGCATGTCAACTGTATACATATATATGTTAGAATTTAACGTAATTAGTCACATGAGACTTAATTTACTTATCAAAGCCTTTGTTCTTTGTATCAAGATCAAGATATTCGACAGAAAATTATATCAAAGTCCAATCAATTATGACTGAATCTTTGACATGTCTTCTATGTTTTAGAAGATAAAACAATACATAGTTCTATTCTTGTAATTAGGACATCCAATTACTTTAAATGGTTGTCACTTAATATATGAAGTTTTACAACTTATATTTCAATATTCTGTATATAAAAAATAGTCTTAGTGTAGTTGTCTTATGTTTGTAAACATACTTTAATATCTAATGAAAGAGTAAAAAATGGTTCATGTACGACTGATCTTTGATTTCCAGCACTATGTATAGTTGAACGAAATTTTCCAGCAAATATATCAGCAATAAGACTTTTTCGAATTTCATTCTAAAATAAAGCAAAAATATAAATAGAAATATTTCTTTTTTTTTTTTTTTTTGTTATTCTTAAATACCGTTCGAAGAACATGTGTACGATTACGTTTTCCAACTTGAAGCCAATCTTCAGATTTTTCATCATTTTTTAATTGTAAATCATCTGTTAATGTTGATAAATCTGTATCTGTTGTAGATTCATCTAAAATTAGATTTTCAAATATTTATTTTTTTTGTTTTTATTATTATGATTACCATTTTTATTTATCGATGGATTATATAAAATTTGACAAATTTCATCATGAATTTCACTTAATAATTGACATAATAATTCATGTGCATCTTCTTGTTTACTTTTAATAACTTCAATAGGTACATGACGAAGACGAGATAATTCTTGAAGAACATCAATTGGTTCAAATGATGAACCACATATTATATCTTTATAATTAGAATTTGATTTACTTCGATCCATTTTTTCAAATTGATTAACAAATGAATGACTAATTAAGAACAAAAACTTTATCGTATCTTTTTTTTTGTTAATAATGAATTTCATTAACTTACAGAGCTCTTATACATGGGACATTATGATTAGATGTATCTTCATTAAGTGGAATATATTTCATTACATTAAAAAAAGCAGGACAAGCCAGAAGTGCTTGAAGAGTCTAGAAAAAAGAAAATTATAAATCATATTAATACGAAATTAATTTGTTTTTCAAATATTTAATTAGTGTTCTATCTAAGTTTCATTTTCTCAATAAATGAAACAAATGGTATCGTTATTCAATTGCGCAGTCTTCATATCAAATACAACTCTATATGAAATCAAGTGTGAATGTTTTAAAAGACAGACATAATTCTATTCTATATAGAATAATTATATAGAAATAAAGAACCGATAATAAAAGATTTGAAATAAAACCAAACTTCCGTCTATATGTAAGTGGATAAATCGCAAGACTACGTGTATTATGTAGGCTCAAATGAGTTATGAATATTCTGAAAAGAGTTCTTGTGCTCAGTTTAACGCTACATTTTTTACAGTTTGTTTTAAAATGAATGATGTGGTAATAGAAAAATTAATTCTTGAGTTCCGACTGAAAATTTTGTATAGAGACAGACTTTAATGATCGTAGTTTCAAATCTTTTGATTTATTTCTATCCTGAAATAAGAACATTAAAACCTGCAAGCTTATAGGAGCGATGCAAAATATAATAAACGAAAGGTACGAACTCTCTTTTAGGAAAGCTTTAACTCACTCATTTGAGTCTATACAAGAAACATAGTCTTGATTCAAAATCGATTTATCAATTTGAGAACTTTCCTGATAATATATAAAATACTACAATAGAATCTATTGTATTTCGTCTTAACTCAAAGCTCATGAATTCAAGTCCAGAAAATTGAAACCAGACGAATTTCAGTTAATGAAAATATTACGTGAAATAGATGAAATCAATAGTAACAATGACTAATAATATTCTATGGTCGTAAATTTCATAACAAACTCCACAGAAATGACTATCTGAATTCATATAAAATTAATTATTTTTCAATAGACGAAGATGAATCAGTATTCTGTGTTCAATCAATCGTAAAATAATATTATCTCATTAATGTGTTTCACAATTTTGACAAAAGCTTATCCATTTGATAAATCATATTATGTATCCAAAATATTGAAAATACAAGAGAATATATAATCATCATTCACACAGTCGTTTTTTTGCTTATCCATATAAGAAAACTAAGTACTTTAATTAATGATTTCGGTGTCTGACTTCATTATTTTTCAATCGTAAGACTCCGAGAAATGTTAGAAATAGTATTATGATAATCGTGTTCTATGGTAGGCTCTGCTCGACTATAAGCATTGTTCAGCAGAAGTAATAACTGGTCGCGATCTTTCGAGCATAACTATCCTTATACCATTCACTTAAATAGAGAAAATCTTCATTGAGATTAATATTAGTGTATTTCTTTAAAAATATTCTCTTCATCATAAATAATTTCTTTTTTTGTACATACGTACC